CACACACACACAAACACACACACTGCTTTCCCCCTCGCCTTCTCCTGTCAGAGTACTCCAGAGGCGCAGGCCTTAATTAAACTTAAATATTAATGAGGAAGTTCAACCCAGTGTAATTGCTTTGTTTCCCACAAATACAAATCAGCTAAGTGTGCAGCTACTCCTTTGTAATTCATCAGGGTTCATTTGAAATGTCACTGCCTTACAAGAAGGTGTGATTTGCACTTATCCAGCAAGATTATAATTTTTTTTGTCACCTTGTTATTTTCTGCTGCACCTGAGAATTGCATTGTTCAAGGGGCTCTTTTTCGGTTATTTGCTAATATCACTGTAATTGGAGGAGTTGGACGTGAAACAAACAAACACAAAACCGTTGTGCCTAATAGTATATTGTGAATAATGTCCACCAGTCAGAAGCATGTCGAGGCTCACATTTGCTCTATATATTTATTCGTATGTTAAATGAGAATAATGGAGATAGTCAAATTATTTCTACATCATAAGTCAAACAACAAGTTATGACACAACAGCTTTGTTATAGAATCTATCTAGTAATTGTCTGTGGCTCACATATCTCAAGACCCATTTATCTTATGGGCATCACACTTGGTATGTGTGTTGTTAAGGGCCCAAGGAAGTGCAGTGTGGAATTTTTTACATTGCTAACCATCATTTATAAATTAAATATCCTAATAATATAGATGATGAATTTATACCTGTGTGAAGATGTACAGTCAGATAAGGAAATTATAGGCATGGGCCTACTCTTTTCACTCATTGTGTCTTTGAGCTATTCTAAAAATCTTTAATTTGTCACATGGACTGATTAAGTCACACAATAGTAATCCATTAGCTGGTTAAAATGCTGTGTCTGATTGAGGGGGAAGATTCTTGAATGCATTTTAGAGACACAGGTCTGATAGTGATTCCGATGTCGTCTTTGCTGTGTTTGAAAAGAAACAGCACATATGACAGACTCGGTCATAAAAACAGGAAATTACAATAATTAATGTTTGACTAACACAAGCTTAAACAATCGCCAAATCTCATATCCAGACAATTCATTTACACGTCACATACACAAAGAATTCATTGCAGCCACTATAAACCTGCACTGCACATTCAGAATAGCGTGCCCACAAACACACACACACACACACATGCATGCAAACACACACAGGCACACAATGCATGCGCATATACAATTCGCATTGATTCTCTCCAGCGCTGTTGTTTGTTGTACACCCCCCCTCCTCCCTTTACCTCTCCTCCCCTCCTCTCCCCTTCTCATCCTCTCTTCCCTAGTCACAGCTCACTGTCAACAGCGCAGGATTAGGAGCATTTGACTGGCCTGTTGCTAAGCAACAGTAACCATGGCAACTGATTCATTATGAAGACAGGGATGGGACAGGGAAAATGCATCAGGGAATGGGTTGATGGGTAAATGTTGTACTGTAATTTTTAAAGTGTATTTTCAGTCTTGGGTGAGCTGGTGCATTTGAACTGAGCGGGCGTATGTCTGGTTAGACAAGTTTCTTCTTTACATGTGTGTCATTGTGTAAAGGTTTGAAGATCACATAGACGATCACTGTGAGATCCTGTAGATTTACAAAGGTGTGGCCAGTCGTCCTGTATTGCCTCTTTGCTTTCATGAATCTGCATTGGACTGAGTAAATTCAGCCTACATTAGATTATGTCACAAATGACTTCAACATTGCAGCCACAAATGTGTTCAGAGTTTACATGTAATGTGTATTCATTACTTTGTACATCCAAGCCACACCCATGCAAGAAAGTTTACAGACGTCATACCCTCACTAGATTCTTATGGGTTTGGCAAAGACAGTTAGACAATAGACCGACAATGATTTCAGGATGCCCTCCACCCATAGCTGATTGAATGCTGGGATTAGCTCCAGCTTCCACCCTGTAAAGATTAAGTGGAACTAACGTATATGGATAGTTATTTATGGAGTTCTCTTCTACCTTACGCAAGAAAAGCATATGACTGCATGTGAACAGCATCGACTTGTAATGGGGTTTAACACTGTGCATGTGTACTCATCACAGTAACTCAGGCGTTTGCACTAACATACAGACAATAATGGCATTCATAAAACACCTCAAACTACATCTGAAACTAACATGTACAAATTGCACTAAAGTGACTGAGGGCTGACCAACCAAACCGAATGTCAGAATTAGCAGAAATGCACCATGGATCAAAATATTGAACTTGTGCTTCTTTGCTAATCAACACTTCCTGAGACTCTGCAGCAGGATGGCTGCTCCAAATTCAGGATGTCTTTGTTTCTCTTTCTTTTGATCCCTCCCATGTTAGAATAAAAAAAGTTGTTTTTTTCTTGTACCTGTGAACTCCCATTGCTACACAGTGCCTCCAATCTGCTAATTCTCACAGGTACAGACTCGCACTTTATTCTGTGAACTCAATTAACACCACACTGCATTTTTCCTCCTCAGACTTTATTTTTAACCTATAAAACTAATTGATTTCATGTTCCAGCCTGGTATAATGTACACCCTGTTTTATCCGTGTAACCCATGAATTATCAGGCCGGTTCAATTACAGGCATAACAAAGTTTCCTCTCTGCTCAAGCTATTTTTAGTCCGCACTGTATAAAGACATAAAGGTGACCCTGAATACTGGAACCTCTTCAGGTTAAAAAATGTAATCATGCCTTTGAGGAGAGAGAATAGCTGACCCCTCATAGTTGTCCTAGTCAGAAAAAATGTAAAATATTATCTATTGTTGACCTTCCATTATCATAAAAGCCGTTAAACAAACAATAACTGCCTGACTATTCCATAACACTCGGATAAGAAGACGGATATGCTGACATTTTTCAAATTCCATAACTATTATAAGGAGATGGCACGTAACACTCTTTATTCAGACAGGTTTAAAATTGCAGATGGAATGCATTCAACGATTTCTACAAAATAAACTCATTCGTGACCCCAGAGAACAACTTTCGATAAGGGCGATCAAATTTCGATTAGACTTTTCCAATTGTTTATTATCTGAGTCAAAGTTTGTATCTTTAGTTTTTCCAACAAATTAATACAATCCAGTCAACAGTCTTTCTGTGCTATAATTAATCTTTACGAGCAATTATATATTTAGTTATTCTAAGTTTCTCTGGCCAATCTTCAAATCAGGTCACCCTCTCTTCACATGAAAAAACACATGTAACTACTGACCTTGAAATTATTGGGGGAGAAAAATGTCAAATTGAACTACAGCTTTAAATCTTTTTTGACTTGATCAACTCAGAGTGAACTTAAACACATTTGTTGTCAGTTTCCTGCTTAAAATTATAAGAAAATGAAAATATCAGTGAGCTCTGTCTACCAAGTTGTCTCTATTAGACTGTATGTGTAGCAAGACACTATCATTTATTCGATTTGATTCAAAAAGACCAAAGAGAAGTATTGAAAAGACGGACATGAAGTTCTTGATCCAACAATAATTGGTTTGCAATTCAATTCTGAAATTCAACATCAGAATTTTTGTAACTAACCCTTTCGTCAGACACCATCTTAAAAATTGAAAAAGTACCTTATCTATGTGACCACAGCAGGTTGAATTGTAGACAGGGATGCACAGAGAGGAAATGACACAGTGCAGTATGAGTAAACGAGAGTGAAAGTTAGGCAGAGCGTATGGAGAGCATAGCTTACTGTTATTTAAACAACAATGTTTGCATATTTTTGAATTGTGGCAGCTAAATGATTGGAGTTGTGGCTAGTTTGGTCAGTAAACTCTGTCTGGGATCATTTTGACCAGGATGACGACTGGAGGATGTCGAATTGTAGAAGAAATCGTACCCCTTTTCATATAAATGCTTTTCCAAGAATGGAGAAACAAGCTGCAGGCTGAGAGGAAGTAATGCTATTTAAATTTTTTGGTTGAGGAGGCATCAGTTCTTTGAGTGGACAAATGCCCCATGGGATTACAATGCGGCCGCTTCGCGGTTGGTGGTTATAGTTCTCGATATTAGACTGATTCCAAACTGTTTTATCCCCATTGAGCCTCCTCGCCAAAAAAGACGCAAAATAAGGTCCAGGTTTAAAAATACTGGAATTAACTTTTAAAATAGATTTTTCTTACCGTCTGGTTGTCCTCGTAGAGTTTGAGGTCGTAGCCACTCAGCTCGACACAGAAAATGATTGCAGTCACGCCCTCAAAACAGTGGATCCACTTCTTTCTCTCTGAACGCTGTCCACCCACATCTACCATCTTGAAGGTGAGCTCCTTGAAGGTGAACTTGTTCTCCACAATCCCTGTGGTCATGTCGCGGGATCGCAGAATGTCCTCAACAGTAGGGATGTACTCAGGTGCAGAGATGCGGTCCAGGTCATTCAGATAGTAGGCAGTGTTGTCCTCTAAATGGTACTCATTGGATCGTTGAAAGCACTCCTGGACCCCTGAGTCAGCCCACAGACGCTTCATGACCCCCAGCAACTCTGAAGTAATCTCTCCCTTGCTCTCAGCTGGCCCTGTGAGGGCAAAGAGCTGCACGGCATCGTAGGCGCGATCAGCATTGTGAAAGTCGATCTTGAGGGTGGTGAGGGCCCGGATAATGCGGGTGAGAGAGTCGATGGCATTGTACAGAATGAGGGGCTTGTACTCCTTGCATGCCTCCAAGTTGAAGCCACCACTGTGGATGATCTTCATCTGTTTGACGATGGTGCTCTTGCCTGAGTTGCTGGTTCCCAGCAACAATAGCTTGATCTCACGCCGCTGCCGCTGACTTTCTGAACGCAAGTGGCGGTCGATTCGCCGTGAGCGTCGCGCGGCTTCCTTCTCCTCCGAGCTCTGACGGCATCCCATGGTCCTCCACCACGTGGTGAGCACAAAGGAACTCGTGCTGCTGCTTGATGTGAAGCAAGTTATAACGAAGTTGAGTTTAACTTTGTGGAAGAGTTGGAGAGAGGTTACGATAAAGGTAGAAGCTTGTTCGGGAAGAGGCAGATAAAACTTCACAACAGACCAATTTTGAAAAGAGACAGGAGAGTCACCACACAGAGGAGCACCTCAGGGGTATTTCATTCTTTTTGTTCAGGGGCAGTCTGTGAGTACTGTGTGGGCAGAACCCATGCAGACTTGTGGGAGGCCCACACAGCGCCTGGCACTGAGGCTGGACTGCCTGCTCAATTCAAGGTAGCTGGGGTTCATAGCAGGGGCTCCCCCTGAGGAAAAGCTCTGGAGGAGGGCTACTAGATGTTCAGCATATGTCAGTAGAGAAAGTGTTTGGACTTGATGCGCATGAATAGCAAAATCCCCTCACTCTCCTCCCACATGGCTCTTGTGGCGCGTTGCCCTTGTTTGGCTTCTGCAAACATCCACTTCAGTCCGATATTTGGCCTGTTTCACTTGATCTTCCCGATGAAATCTTTTCTTTTTTTTCTGTGGTGTAATTTCGTCTCGACAACTCAAGGCCTCGGAGTCTGCCAAAATAAGAAGACAGAGAGAGATCATTCACCTACATGTTTGTATATAATAGTATTCACTTCAAAAAGTGAGCTAAGATGATGGATACCACTGTCATATCTGGGAGATAGCTAGCATCACTCTCTTCAAAATACAAATTCACTCAGTTTGAACCTTTTATTACCTGATACTTTATGTAAAAATGGTACAGACCTGCTCACCTAGAGTCAAACTAGAGTTGAACTTGAGAAAGTATATTATCTATGTTATCTATGAGTTTAAATAATATTTGGACTCAGGTCGTGTTTGGTCTTGTTGTCTGGGCTGTCTACTTAATTCTTTACTCTGCACGTGCCTGTAATTGCTGGAATCTTTGGGCTTGGGTCAGGTTCGGATACAAAAACTGAATTCCCGAGGGGTTAGGGTCAGGCTTGGTTAGTTTTATCCCAGGCTCGGTTGGGTTCGTACAGAAAATTGCAGCCCGAGCTGCACACTAATCTGAGCCTAGCATCCTGCTACACTCTCCACCGAAGTGCTTGGTAGATGGATTAACCACATTTAGCAATTTTTCCAGTTCTCCTTGTAAACTATTTAAACAAACAAGAGAGGATAATTGCCTACCGGTTTTAGCTCCACACTAAAAACGTGACATCAATCTTCTTTTCTCACTCTTGGATATAAAACACATTTCTATTAGTGAACTACTAGTGTAATAAAAACTGCAAAACAAAGATACCAAATATAATATTTAGTTAACAGCTGTTTGACATTGAAAGCATGTACAGTCACATGGATACTGACCTGCACGCTTCCCATTCAACTACTGCTATGCTCTTGAGTTTTTCTGTTTCACTACCTCTTCAAATTTCTGCTGCTAACAGTCACACACCCCTTCTCGCTCCATCTGCAGTCCCGTGTAACCATAGACTCTGTGCCAAAGTAGATTTCAGTTGACCACGCCTATCCATTTAACACTTAATGCACACAGGCATGTATGAAAACACACACACACACACACACACACACCCTCATTAAATACACAATCAAGGTCAAACATATGCATAGAAACAGGCAGGAAAACAAACTCCTCTGTCCATGAAAATGGTGTAGGATAAACAAGATGAATGCGTTTCCTTGTAACCAATAGCATCTCCTGCTGTTCACACAACAGCCCACTGCCTCTGACTGTCCTCTCTCGGGTGGACATAGGATAAAATGGTTATTTACTACCACAGTGGAAAATAACAGCCTCAAACCGGCCTCTCATAGCTTCATACCACTGTAAAGCCCCTACTCCTTACCCAGACATCTGTGCTGTTATCCTCCAGATTCCTTCAGATTCACACTGTGATCAAAAAAATAATAAGACATACTTCTGAGAATATTCCTGATCCTGCTTTCATATATTTGCTTTTCGGGCGGCAGCACTTTAACGTGGTTAAAACAAATACTGAATACTAATAGGTTTGGGGACATGAATTCTAATAAAATACTGTATTTTACTATGTAAAAAATTTAAAGCAGAAACCAATTTGGAGCAGTGGATGCCTGTGGGATTCTGTGATAAATAGATGCACATTGAAACAGGCTGGATGCTACTGACTGAGTAACAAACGTGAAGTCATACTGTGGCCTAGTTTTGGTGGTGAAACTCTGCAGACCCCATAGATGGATAAATAGATGGAGCAAGAATTTCTCAGGGTTGAGGTCCACTCTTCAGAAGACTGAGAGGAAAAACAGAGCAGAACAAAGCCATAACAAAGCATCACAACACAAACAGAGTGCAGAGCATTGTTTCCTGGCTTCAGGCACCTGACTTTCCTCTAAAAATGTCATAGCCAGCCAAACCGGTTAATGCACATCACTGATTTCGAGAGCCAACCGAACACATGAAAGCTGCGTGTTAAGTTTAGTCCAGTTTGCTTCTTTACCCCAGAAATATGCAGCGCTCGCATTTCAACACTTTTTGAAGTTTTACACCACTTAAGATAATGGCTAAGGAAGTCCAGCGCCGGCAGTGCAATATCAGTAAATATTATATCACATGAAATTCGTATTAATTATATTTTTCATGCTATTATAGAGTAAAGAAGAAAATGTAGTCTTGTGGTTACCTACGCCCTAATAACTGGAGCATAACTGAGTGGGATAAAATGCCTGGAACTTTGAAACTTTTAAAGAAAAAAGAAACAAAATGAATTAATTAAAACGCCTACAGGATGAAAACGTACCTTTAAACAAATTACATAGTCCAGTTTAAAGCTGCAGTAGCCCTTAATCAGGATTTCACATGAGGCCTCCAGTGTCAAAATACATCTTTAGGCTTATCACCTCAGGCCTAACTTGTATTTATCCTCATATACGTTGCAGGAAAAGTGGACACCCGTGCTATCATGCAGTGAGCTCTGGTATAAAGAAGAAGCTTGTCACTTTAAGAGAAAGTGAGTGGAGGCAGAGCCATGGGGGCCACAGAGAAAGAGGCACAGCATCTTGATGTATCATGAGGGCTGAGGTAATGTGATAGCCGAGATGAGACTGAGTCCACTCGCTCTCCTGCCTTTTCCTTTACAGTTTTTGCTGCACAGGGCCCACTGTTCTCCCATGTGCGTACCACCTATTATTTAGTTACCAAGCTGCAAATAATTACAACCATGCCCTTTATTAGAGATGAGTACATGCAGTCACAGTGTGTTTCTGTTGTATAACGCTCTCACCGCGGTTGTTGAGTCCACAAAAATGCTATTAAAATTAGAGTCAATCACATGAGATTGAGGGGTGATTTTAATCCATCAGTGGCTGGATATTTTCGCTTGGACAGAATCTGAATCTGTTTTTAAAAAGTGTGTCTATGGCACTTCAGAGCAGTTATTGTAAAGCATACATAGATCTGTCAAGAGTACAGTTGTACATTGAGTTGTATAGCAGCTATTTTAAAGAGCTACACAAGCGTGTGAAGCATGTTAATTCTAAGTGTCGGTCAATCTTCTGAATACACATGATTTAAATCAAATCAAATTAAATCACATATGAAGCCAAGCCGAGGCCAGCTTGTACGCAGGTGTGTCAGAGATGAGGAAGAACAAACACAGAAGGTGTTTTATTTCCATGAATGAAAAGCAAAGTGTGCGACGTTAAAAAGAAGGGGGAAAGGCACAGGTGTTCTTTTAGTCATCTTTTCATGGTTTATGAATGAGGAGTGCAGGTGTGTTTGTCAGCGCCGTGGTCAGCAGGCTTGCATTTCAAGAGGTATCGGATGAGGTGTTCCAGTGAGAATAAACCTGTCATGGACAGGCGGCAGGAAACACAGTGCTCAACATCTGCCAGTCAACAGGGGACCAGCAAGCATTCATATTTCCCATTTATGAAGCACAGTGCCCATTTACATCAAAACCAACTAAAGCAAGAAAATAGCCCATTCATCAACTAAGGACAAAGACTTTATAGCAGCACCCAGGGGACCGGCACCTGTGTTGGGAAAATGACAAACACTGCTGCTGTTAAATTACGTGCTCTCATTCTGCTTTTTAGAAGTGCACATGTGCGACCAATTTAAATGTGACCATTCACAACAATATTGTGCTCGGAAAATGTGACTCTACTGTAATTTATATCCATTTGACCAGTGGGTTAACAGGCCTGCTGAACTCTTTGTCACCATCATTCATCATGGCTAGAGGAAAGGCTGCTGGGACCTGCCCGCGCGGGCCCCGATAAATCCTATTGGACGACATAAATTTTTCAATGGAGAAGAGGTAGACGATTCCTCCACCCTTTTTTAGTTTAAGAGCTTAGCATTGGTCGTTGCAGAAGCAGAAAGTGCAATTCTATCTCCTTCTCAATGATGGATGTCTGCATAAAGAAGCATTCCAGCAGCTCGAGTCCCTGCAGCAAGTTAACATATAGTAGATTTACAGAGAAGTAAAACTGCTCACATGCCTTTCGATCAGCTGCACCGTGTGAATGCTTTCTCATCCAAAGGCAGCAGTTTCAGTAGCTGGAAGGTTGTTTCCTGTTTCCCCTGGCTGTCTGACAAAAACAGGTTACCGAATTACTTAAGGCTGTCTGGTCAGTGTCCATATACAATGTCAGAGTCTTACTGGGATCTAGTCGACTGATTTCTTACAATAATATCTAAAACCCCAGGAGTGAAACAGTAGTTAATCCCTAAATCTGCACTAAATCCTGCTATTGTGCCAATATTAAGCAGTTAATGAAACTTAGATCAAACTTCTGGGCTGTCAAGTTCAGCCATATGCTATTTTATTTAGTTGTTTCCCAAAATCAAGTAAAATATCTTTCTTTGGGGGATAAACTGATAGACAAAGAGATGTATAAAATCATAAATAATTTTTAGATTAATCGTTGAATAGAAATCAACAGATGAAAATATGAAAAAGAGAAGTTGCTGGGACAGAAAGTTTCCCTGTCGAGGAAAGACGGCCTCTAAGCAAGATGGCTGGAGAGCCACTATTCATTTCTGTGGTGCCACAGAGGCTGTGAATAAGCAAGGCATTAGTGAGAATGTCTGAGGTCATCAATTGGCGCGCTTTCCTCAGCTACTGTTGTCTCCAACTACTTTTACTGGCCACATGAGTCACCGATAAGGTCACAGGCTGTTTAGTGTAGACAGTAGCCAGAAAAGACATTTGACCAAAGGTTGACGGTGTAGTTACAAGGACAAAAGTAATGTTTGATTCTCAAATGAAGGCATGCATAACATAAAAGTAAACCGATGTTTTGGCCGACTAATCCTCTTTCACATAGACATGATTGTTGGCATTTTTTCCACACAGGGCAGTGGTTTAAAATGTGCCAGAGAGGAAGAGACTATGGGGAATAACCGAATGACGGTGGATACATCTAGATAAGATGAAATAAAATTATAAAAAAGGCACTGATGTGGATCTGTGCCTGTGTATGACACTTTGGGCAGAGTGCAGGGTGACATTGACAGGTATGTTTAGGTCATTTGGTGCTGTGGTGAGGCTACAGTGGTGAGTTGGTACTGTACACTTGC